CATTAGTGTAGGCAAAGCCTAAGGAATATTCATGGTACATTTGGTAAGTGTTTAGCACCAAAATATTCAGTTAACAAGTCTATACCAAGTCTTGCATCAAATCTGTTCAAAAGTCAGGGTTTTCAAGAGTAGGACAGGTTCCGTATTTTGATCACAAATCACTCAAATTAACTCGAAATTGGGCATGCTTTATGGCGTTGGAAAACACATTCATAGAGCTATAATTTCACAGAAGAAATCATTTTGAAATTTGGCATACAACTAGCTCGAATTCGAGCCACAAGTTGTAACCTCAGCATTTCGTTTCAGTAAAACAGAGAAACAGAACAGCCGACTTTAAATGGTTGGTTCGGCTCACATACATGGAACCAGAACGTGCATTTTATACCGTCGAAAAGATTGGAATGTCTAGTTTTAAATTTCGTTGATGGCACTCGATTTTGACGTCAGAGCACAAAATTATGGCCGAAATACGAAAGCTGGTTAGAGCATTACGGGAACAGTTCCAGATTTACTAGCTTTGTGAAATCAATTCATTTAACCCACCAAATCTCAATATTTTTCAATGAAATTTCATACACCATCTATACAACATATAAACATCATATATAAGTCATTACAACCCCAAAATTCCACAGAAATAGATACGTTCAAAGCAGGGGCAGAATTGGAACTTTTTCTCTCATGCATTTCTTGAAGTTCATACTACTAATACACCATTAATCTACCATTTTGAGCACTAAACCAACATTAAACTCATCATCAATCATCACATCAGCCATCAAGACAAAGGGTGGGAGTTCATAGAGCCCACCTTTTAAATTTCCAACAATAACAACCACCCATATGAATATTCAAGCTTAAAGGTGTTAAACAACCTCTATAAACCAAGTTTAGAGTGTTGGATCATTACCTACTTTGGTTTGATGATCAAGCAGAATTTCGACCCCCCTTTACTCCAGCAAAATCGTGATTTTCAGCTCCCCTTTGCAGCTCAAATGATCCTTAAGTGTTAAGCCACGTGTGGTTTAAGTTGGATGTGAATTGGATGAAGATTTGTGTTAGATTTGGAGATGGAATTTGCAAAACTTGGAGTTGTTTTGTTGCACCTGATGTTTCGGCCAAATGAGAAAGAAAGAGGCCCGATATGCTGAAATAAAGCTTCTAAAGTAAGCTTAAATGTGTGGCCACAATTCGCCAAAAGTCAACTCTCTCTTGCGCGTGTACACGCGCATTTTGGGCTCGATTCCTTTCGAATTTATTTCACTAGTCCACTAAACCTCTAATATATTTATATTCATATAAATATTATTCACTCTTAATTGTCCCAAAATAATGGTCTAAAGTCCCTCAATTAATCGCGCGCGTGAAAACGGATATTTCTAATTTAGGCGCAATAAAGTGAAACTTTTGAGAAATTCTTATAACAATCGTACCACTAACTATCACTTGAGTATTTAAACTTAAATTTACCTATTTTAAGACCATTGTACATGTCTCTAATTTTCCGGGTTTAATGTACTCCCAATTGGTTAATTTTTCGAAACGCGTTTTCACTTTTTCACTAAATAAACTTCTAAGAAAATAATTTTTGAAACGAGACACTTTAAAAATATAACGAAACTATAATACCATGTACTCAGGTCTAATAAGGTTAGAAAATATTATTCGTGGCAAAAATCTAAATAAATAATTAATTAAGCCAAAATTAGAGATTTAAAAAATAATAGATTTTCGAGTCCTCACATCCATTCCCCCTTAAGAGAATTTCGTGCTCGAAATTTTACCTTGATTGGCAAACAAGTCCGGATATTTCTCTCTGATCGTTTTTTCAACTTCCCATGTTTCTTCTTCAACTCCTTGGTTCCTCCAAAGAACTTTTACTAGTGGTATCTACTTGTTCTTCAATTCCTTCACCTTTCGATCCAGAAGTTTCACCGGTTTCTCTTTATAGGTTAAAGTCTCATCAATCTCAATACTCTTCGGTTGCAAAATGTGAGAAGGGTCTGGATGATACTTCTTAAGTATAGATACATGGAATACATTATGGATTCGAGATAAACTCGATGGCAATTCAAGCTTATAGGCTACATTCTCCACACGTTGGATAATCTTGTAAGGTCCTACAAATCTCGGTTGTAATTTCTTTCCTTTTCCAGACATCACGCTTGTTTTCAAGGGTGTGATTTTGAGAAATACCAAATCTCCAACAGTAAACTCCAAATATTTTCTCCGATTATCGGCGTAACTCTTTTGGTGGCTCTGAGCGGTCTGAATTCTTTGGTGTACCAACTTTACTTTCTCATTTGCTTCTTCAATCCAAGACACTGTAGTCGGATTTAAGATTTTTCGTTCACCTATTTTATCCCAACAAATCGGAGACCTACATTTGCGACCATAAAGTGCCTCATACGAGGCCATCTGAATAGAAGAATGGAAACTATTGTTGTAGGTAAATTCTACTAAAGTCAAAAACTTACTCCAACATATCCTCAAGGGTCTGAATTGTCCTTTCAGACTGTCCATCGGTTTGGGGATGATAAGTAGTATTAAAATTCAATTTAATCCCTAACACTTCTTGCATTTTTTGCCAGAACCTCGAAACAAATCTTGGATCCCTATCCGACACGATACTGACAGGTATTCCATACAACCTAATGATCTCATCCAAATACAACCTGATCAGTTTCTCTAACAGGTATTTCATATTAATCGGCAGAAAATGAGCCGATTTGGTCAATCATCCACTATTACCCAAATCGCATCATGACCTCTCTGTGTCCTTGGTAATCCCGATATAAAATCCATGGTGATATTCTCCCATTTTCACTCAGGTATTTCTAGAGGTTGCAAAAGTCCCGATGATTTCTGATGTTCGGTTTTAACCTGTTGACAAATTAAGTATATTTGGACAAATTGAGCAATCTTCTTCTTCATGTTCTCCCACCAATACAGACTCTTTAAGTCTTGGTACATTTTATTCCCTCCTGGGTGTACCGTAAACTTTGATCGGTGTGTGTCTTCTAAAATTTCCTTTTTAAACCCTTAATCCTTTGACACAACCACCCGATTTCGAAATCTCAATACACCGTTTGTTCCCAAGTTGAAGTCCGACTTGTCCTCCTTTTTAACATTTTCCAACCACTTCTGCACCTCAGTGTCCTTTCCTTGAGATTCCTTGATACGTTCCATCAAAGTGAAATTCAATACAATATTCCCCAAAATTACTTTCCTCGGTTCCAGTCGAGAATTCCAATAACTAACTTCTTCCAACAATTGGAATTCCTTAATCATCAATCCAGCCATCTGTACTTGACGACTCAAAGCGTCAGCCACTACATTAGTTTTTCCTGGATGGTACTTAATCGTACAGTCATAGTTTTCCAAAAATTTCATCCATCTACATTGCCTCAAATTCAGTTCCTTCTGTGAAAATAAGTACTTAAGACTTTTGTGATCAATAAAGACTTCAAACGTTACTCCATACAAGTAATGTCTCCATTTCTTCAAAGCAAAGACCACAGCAGCTAACTCCAAATCATGAGTCGGGTAATTCCCTTCATACGGTTTCAATTTCCTAGAGGCATATGCTATCACTTGTCATTTTGCATCAACACACATCCCAAACATTCTTTAGATGCATCTGTATAAACCACAAAACTATCATTTCCGTTTGGCAAAGCTAACACAGGTGCCCTTGTTAACCGTTTTTTCAATTCCTGGAAATTATTTTCACACTTAGAACTCCATATAAACTTCCCATTTTTCTTGGTCAGCTCGATCATTGGTCCAGCAATTCTAAAAAAATCTTTGATAAATCTCCAGTAATACCCTACTAATCCAATAAAACTCCGAACTTCAGTAGGGTTTTCCGGTCCTTTCCATTTCGAAACAGCTTCAATGGTGAGGAAGCTTCCAATGGGTAAAGCTAGAGAATCGATGTCACATCCAGTAACCTTTTATGTTACATGGAATTCTTAAGAGAGCTGCTAATCTTTTGCGTTGGGCAGTCAGTACTTTGATTCCCCCAAAGGGGTTAACAGGAGGCAACCAGTCTTGTAAACATCATTTCCAATTTCACTTCTGCAGTTTTCTTGAGTTCTAAAATGAACATTTGCTGTGAAAAGCTAATGAAGTATGGATAGTTTTTTTTTTGGGTTCTGTATGTACACAAAACCTTTCATTTATTGGTATGAACTTGTGGTTTACATACATATAACAAGTATCCAACTAAAATAACAAAATGAATGTGTAGTTAAACTACTACAAAGGAGAAAAATAACAAGTTCAAATGATCTGTCAATATGAAGCTCAAACATATCTCGACGTAGCAATCACTAAGGGAGACAAGCTTAAGAATCTTGCTTGAAGCAAAATGGAGCCTAGAGAAAAGCAGTTGAACTTGATCACATACAGCTCATCTCAACTTTTAAACATCCCTGAACACCCTATGCACATTCCGATATCAAGTTTTGTACCATATCTACTGAAAATACTTTGAAGAGTCTTTGTACTTTGGACAACTATTGAGTGCCTTGACAAGAGACGTTTATTTAATACATGCAAATCAGGGAAAATCAATAGCTCTTGACATGAAGTAAATTTAAGAGCTCTATAATCCTTTGGACAAATGTGCAAATAGACTGTAAAAAAAGTGGATCTGCAATGAACTTGGACCTAGGAAAAAGATGAAGAAACTTACGATGCTCCTTTTTCCAGCTATTAGTAACAAAAAGTGTGCAAGTTTATTCAACAAATGCTATCAAAAAAGTTAGCAATCTGCAATGAGAGTTTTATCATCTACACCACTGTAGTGGAAAAGAATGGTTTTAGTGCTAAAACAGGTATTATAATTCTCTAGCCAAATTCAAAATAGAGATGCACCCTAATTTCTTGTTTATCAAGCATTTGGGTAGCCTCATCCCACAAATATGGCTTTGAATGCAAATCAACACAAATATTGACCATGGGATCCTACTGGTTAAACTTCCAAAGCCTCTTTAATTATTGTTCCTCCTTTCAGCTGCAGTATCAGTAACAGTAGCAGCATCTTTTCCCACCTTAACAGCTTCTCTCTCTCTCTCTCTCTCTCTCTTGCAGACATCCCTGCAAGCTTGCCTTGGCTTAGAAAAACACTAGGCAAACCTTAGTAACTTTCATCAATCAGAACACCGATGAAAGCTCACTAGCAAAGCATATATGCTGAATCCTTTTTTTTTTTGGGCTTTTAATTGAACCTGAATTGAGCAGTTTTGCTTATCGATTAGGCTACACATAAAATTTAACTATGTCACATCCCAATGCTGAGCAAATTACTTTGAGTTATCGTAAAGGAACAACTACCCACTGCAAGTCAGTCTTCTCTGAGAAGCGGTCAGTCTCAGTACGAGGATAACTGATAAATCCAGTTTGGTACAGATCTTCTGCTACCTATAAAGTCAAGAAGATTACAAATAGAAGGACACCAAAAAAAAAAAGAAAAATCAGGCTATTTTACATGAAATTTACTGTTTGAAAATCGAAAAAATTTCAAAAGCAATCATGGTATGGGCAAATATAAGAATGAAATGATGGCTAAGTACTTTTGATCTATGATAGGTGGTACACCATAATTTCAAGATGCCAATATGGCATTTCGACATCAAGAAATTTCAAGTGGAAAAAAATGCATAACCATGTTACTAAAAATGTAAAACACTTAGCCCTAAGGTCGCCAATATTACAATGGATGAGAAGGAGATAGCATCACAAAAAGCTGAAGCATGATCACACTTATAAGACCCTACAGCAGAAAGGACTTTGACATTTCCGTTTTCAAATTTCAATCTTTTGGAGATCATGGGTTGTGACAGTGTCAGTCTCAAAAAGGGACAGCTTCCACAGGATAGCATTGCATGATAAGAGGAGACTGCATAAGAAAGCAGCTCTACTATCATTTCTAGGATACATGGAGACATAAAACATGAGCTAGAACTTTTAAAGAGCATCATGAAGGATGAAGAATTAACATTGTATATCAAATATGAAATATCACCTTCATGGTATGTGCAGGACTCATGTGAAAGAAATGAGATGCACGCTTCTCAAGCTCAAGGGTACTCAAAGGAAGAGGAAGATATTTAAGTTTTTCTTGTTCCTTGATCTCTGTGACCTGCACGGAGAGAAAGTTGGTAAATGCCAAAGCCCATAATGCATGTCTGTTTCCAAACCAGCAGTGGTCTCACACTGTTAAATAATACTCACAGTGACAGTAGGTTCTTGGATGCACATTTCATAAACTATTGCTGCACATGCATAATCAAAGAAATGTCCCCGCCTGCAAAGCCACAACTTATGAAATTTGAAAATTTCAAGCATACATCTCAACCTAAAAATGTTAAATATGTAAGAAGATTTTAGAAGAGTACATCCACTTAAAGTTAGCAGCGCCTTCATCTGTGTTGTGCGTACAATTAATAGTCCAGAACTCTTCAGCCTCGTGTGACTGATTTTCCCAGTAGCGCTCCACGACAAAGCCCAATGTTGGAAACTGCAGTAAAGTAATGGCACACTGTAACTAACATACTCCAAAATTCTGTTTCATATCATGGACAGTGTGATCTGCTCACATTCACCAATTTGTCTTCAACTATATCTACCAGTGCATAATAAAAGCATCATCTTGCGAGTACCTGAGAGGGTCCATAGCTTATAACAAGATTCCTGTCATCTGTAGCAAGATTAATCATAAATGCATCTCTTAAAAACATGGTCTGAAAGCGAGTAAAAGAGGCACCAATCCGAAGGTCTATCTCCTGCAGAAAAATTCAAGTTTAGCTCGCCTTTATAGTATCGGAACATAAACATGTGTCCAGCACATTGTTAAATATGAAAATCCGTGCTAATAATCAAGCCAGAGAAAAAGATATAAAGTTTACATTAAAATGCTGAGGTGAACAGAACATATGAAGGTAAAGGAACTCAAGAAAAAAGTTCAATATACTTGTAAAAGGTACATATATAAGTTGTTGACAGTAACAGCAGGAAAAAAAAAGAAAAGAAAAAAGGCCAGATCCTTAGTAGTGAAAGGTATTAGCATGACATAACGTTAAAGATCAACTAAGTTTTGAAACGATACACACTTGTCTTAGATCCACTGCATCAGCAAACAATTGATTGGGTCTGACAAGATTCTGCACTGAATTCTGAATTTCCCTGACCATCAAAAGGTTTTCAGCAAATAATCAAAACAGCCTTAAAGTCAGAAACCTGAGAAACTATTATCAGAGCAAGCAATCAGCTACCTTTCAATTAATGCAGAGAAACGAGCCCTCCAGATATTAAGATCGCGATTCGCTTGTGTACAGACTTCAATCACCTCAAATGCAATATTTTCTCCTTCTCTATCACAATCAAGCCACAGGATAAGCCGCTGGCACTTTCTAGCTTCTTCCTCCAGCGTCCTTCTTATATCTGATTTGTCCTACAATCATCCATGAAAGATACAACACATTTCACTATATGTACCCAGTGCATAAGAATCTACATTCAAGCCCTGTTCTATCAACTAAGCTGCAGCAGATTACAAAGAAATCGGTACTAAACCATATAGATAAAAGAAAAAAATTTATATATTATACCATAGAAATCTATCATCCATCGTGCTAAACAAACATACAAGTCATTGATTATCAACTAGACCTCAACCCAATGCTCAAAACCAAGCAACTAACTATAACGTCCAACCAAAACAACACAATGTACTACACTCATCTGAATTGCTTGGAGCCTCCAAAAAAAAGTTTCAAAAGACGAAATCAAGCAAAATACTTCATCGTTGACAGAAAAAAATAGCTAAAAAGTAGCCAACAAACTGAGCTAATGGAATACCTCAGGGACGAATTTACGAACAGAAGCATGGTAAAGATCGACGGGGTCACAAGAATGCCATCTTCTGAAGCGATCGTCGAAATCGAGCTCCATGAGATGACCTGTGACGGAGGTGAAGGACATATGGCAAGGCTGTCCATTGATGGTGTGATTGAACTCGAATATCTTATTGTATCTGGACCGTCCATCTCTTACTCTCAATCCTCCTTGCTGGTTCTTCGATAGGAATCCCGAAACTGCTTTGGCCACTGACGGTTTCTCCGCCACGTTCAGCACTCTTATTGCCCGCCCTCCGCTGCGGCCGCCGCCATAGGCCATTTCTGAGAGTGGTGAAGTGGAAAATTCGTCGGAGTTTTTTCCCGCCCCGCAGTTGACGTGGAGTGGCGAGGGAAAGGGAAATTTTAGATTATGTTTAGATTGCATTTTCTGTGATTTTTCATAGAAAAATTATTGTAGCAATTTGATGTATGTGAGAAAAAAAGGTAATACAAAAATGTGATCACGAAAAATGATGTAATTTTTCAACGGAAACCGACAATCCAAACAAGGCCTTAGTTTTGAATAAATCGCAGCAGTGGGGTTAATTCCCCTTGGCACCCTTCAACTATACCTAAACTCTTATTTTAGTCCCTAAGTTCTAATATGAGACATTTTAGTCCTCCAATGATACCATTTGTCTCACTTAAGAAAGATGGTTCATGAAGTATGACAGATTTTATACTTAAGCGGGCATATTCTATGAACTAAAGTGGGATAAATTTTATACTTTAGAAATTAAAGTGTGAAAATTTTTATATTTTAACGATTAAAGTGAGATGAATTTTATATTTTACAGACTGAAGCGTAACAAATTTTATTTTTTAAGGACAAAAATGGGCTACAATTTTTAGGTTAAAAATTATAGTGTCTCATTTTGAAATTAAGAATGAAAGTGAAAATTCACGTAGATTTGAAGAGTACAAAGTAGAATTGATCCTATGTTAATTTTTCTTCTACAAGTTTTTTAACAACTTAATTACAGCAATCTTAGAAAACTTTCCAAAGTTTTTTAAATGCACACCTCAAATACCCAAACACACAAGAGAAATTATTTTCCCTTCTTTTGTTTACTTCCTCCCCACATCCCAGTCTATCACCACCTCCACCATTGGGCGCTGCTTGCAATCACCTCTACTGGTGCAGACAACTCTTTTTTTCTTTCTTTCTTTCTTTCTTCCCCCTCTCTCTCTCTCTTCTTCTCACTCTTTCCTCTTTCTCACTTTCTCTCTCTTCCTCTTCTCTTTTCCCCATTCTCTTCCCCCCTCTCCTGAACTCACCCCCTTCCCTGCTGGTCATGCAAACAGTGTTGGAGTGGTAGGAGAAGGGGGGAGGAGAAGGAAAGGGAGAGGAGAGGAGGAAGAGGGAGGGAAGGGGAGGAAAAAAAGAAAAAAAAAAAAAAAGGTGGGAGAGGGGTTTCAGTAGGAGGAGTAGGGTGGTGGCAGTGGAAAGAGAGGAGAAAGAGGGGAGAAGGAGGGAGGAAGAAGAAAGGAAAAAGAAAAAGTAAAGGAAAAAGAAATGGAAAAGGGAAAGAAAATTTTGTTTTCCCAGTTCTCAAATATATAAAAAATTTTCTACTGATTCTACAATACATTACAATAAAGTTGTTGTACAATCAATAAAATGAACTACTATAATAGGAATTGAAATATTAGAGTAAGAAGTAGAGAAATGGAGAATGATTTTCTTATGATTCCAACTAATCAAAAAGTACACTCAAGAGGTGCCAAGGTACCTCTATATATAGGTACTACAAAATTAAAGGTATATCAATTCTATTAAACACTCATTACTACAAGAACATGAATAGTCATATGAAACGGTTCATCCAATATATGAATAGCTCTTATGGATTGAAACTGTCCATCCAATTTAATTCCTTTACATAATGTAGCAATGAATTATGAATTACTTCCCTTGGAAACAATGAATTATGAATTAATATACTGGAGAATACAAATGGATATCCACACTTTTAGTTGTTTCATAACAGTTTTGTATAAACATTCAAAAAACACACCTTCCAAACAGACCCAAAGTCATGTAATGCTCAACTACCGAGCTATTTGTTATCTTATTCTCATCTCTGATTTTCTATTATTTTTCAATTTGAATTAATTGATAATGTTAGGCTTCAATTTTCAAAGTTTGTTTGCCATTTTTGGTCTAACAAATTAAACTTATGGTAATTGAAATAAAAATTAAACCCAAAATACTAGTTGTCTTTGAGAATTTGATGAACATCATTCCTTTAAAATAATTAGGGCAAATAAATGAATAAGTAATTAAGCAAGAGCTACTAATGTAGTGTAAAATGAATGGCAGTATGGGGTATGAGAGATAAGTTGCAGAGGAAAACAAAGTACGTGGATTTAAGCGTTCGTAACTCCAAGATCGCAAATGCACGTGAATCTGATTGAAGTGAGCAACTTGCTTTTGGCAAGGTAGCCGCTAGAATGGATTTTAATTTCCACTTTGATAGGGGTGACAAGTTTTCGAAAAATATCGAATTACCAACCGAACTTGAAATCAATTTCAAAAAATTTTTTGGGTTAAAAAGGATAATTTCATTTCAATATCTGAACTGATAGCAGGTAAGTAAATTAAAACATAATACAGATATTTAGATCTGAAAATCAACTTCTACAAGACCCAAAAAGCAATAAACTTGATCATAATATTGAAACTTCGAAAAACTCCAAGAGTACTTTCCATTAGATAAATATTACTAGAACCAATGCATCTGTGTCCATGTCTTCCAATAGTTAGATGTAATAAAAATTGCTCAAGCCCAAACAAAAAAATTAGATCAAATACATTGGAAATAGGTAATTCGAATTTCCATTGGTAATTTTAGTTTTCTAAAATACAAAGGTTTGAATTGGGATCAAATATAGTATTCATATTTCTTAAATTGACCTTATTGATCGACGATTTCGTACAGCGCATAGGGTCGATTGTAGTAATAATTTACTTGGAGTATTCCAGGGTTGAACCCACATGGATGAGTTAATTTTCTTTTTTAGTTATTCTAAAATAACAAAGTTTAAATTCAAGGAGTGGTTTTTTATAACTAAATAATAAATGAATAATCAATTTAAATAGAATAGTGGTGAGAAAACAATAGATGCGAGCCTAAGGTGTGACAGCCCCACCTCTCCCTAGGGCGAACCCTAGGGTATCAGCGGATTGCCTGCCCAGCTCTCGCGCGGAATTCAGTTGATCAAAGTACTAATAACTGAAATGAAGCGAATGAGATATCTTCCGAGAAAGGGAGTGTAACCCCAATTGAAACATAATCACTAATCCAACGTTCAGGCTTAGTATTTAGATAACTAATTGTTTACTACCACTCCATACTCAAAATTATATAGCATAAGTCGAACATACGGATATAAGCATACCAGTCTGCTTAAACAAAAGTTACAACCTCAAAACACAAGTACAAGCAAAATAAAGCTAAGAAAGCTTTTGATCAAGTCTCTTCCTGATCTGTTAAGGAAAACAAAGGGAATGGGGTGAGCTAAAACCCAGTGAGATTCCAAGTAAAACAAGTAAACACATAGTCACATAAGGCCACAAAATAATCAAAGAAACACCGTACAGTAGAATAACAATTTAATCACAGTTCAATTCAAGGATACAGGTGACTTTCAAAAGCCAAAGATCCACTTGAGCTTGATCATGATTGCCTCCTGTTGACACTCCGTCAACACTTGTATGCACAGTATATATGGTCCGTAGAACACCAATTCCACCAATCTCCGTCCACTAATCAAACCCCTACTGGGCTCGCACTCCATAAACAGTAGTATGGTAATACTCGAGTATATCGATTTTCAGTGTTCAGTAAACAATCCCCAAGGTTTATCGACCTTCTCGACCAAGCCCTTGCTGACTTGATACGACCGATTCACCTATGAGGTTGGGTACCAAAACAGTAGCAATGATTGATGAGATATCACCCAAACAACTCAAACACAATCATTCATAGAGATATCACATCTCAAATAACAGTATATAGAGCTTCAGTGGAAACGAGGGAGATCGAGTGCGATAAAGTACACTCGCCTCTATTTTATCAAAACAGTATTTGGCTCCAACAGTTATCAGTCAAGTATTTCAAATATTCAGATATTTCACATAACAGGTAGCAGGTAGTGGAACACTCACCTGTCAAGCAATGCAGTAGTCAAACGTCAAGTATCTCAGTTACGACCACCTTTATTTCCCAATCCTAGGGCAACGAGTGAAATCGTTAACAAATTAGATTCATTTCCCACTCAATTGTAGGCTCATTAAGTGACCAAGTGAGTAGTCTAAGTTACTTAATCCATCATACAAATAAGGTCTAAACCATGGTAAAAGTTCATGAGAAAATAATTTTAATAAGTGCATGAAAGTTCGGCAAAAGAAAAGTTTCATTCAATCTTAAGAGTTTTTTCTCGGGTTAAACAGTCTTGCCCTGGCAGTCTTAGGAAAACGGTCATAACTCACTGTAGAAAAGTCAGAATTAGGTTCCGTCAGTAGCGTTGGAAAATAGACTCGAAGGGCTTTCTAACGGTATCAAACTCACACCGTGGTTCATCTCCTATCGACAACAGTAACTCAGACAAAGTGGCTGTTTTTCCAACCCTGGATCAGCATTGACCGCATTCCAAACTACTCTAGTTCTAGATGCTAACTTCGTTTGTTTTGGTCCAAATTTACCCAAATCACTCCTCAAGTGATCATATACAAGGATTCAAGTCACCTAGGATCAATGGAGTTCACAATGCAACACACAAACTTGATTTTAGACAACCACAATAGTCTCATAATTACAAGAATTCAAAACAGTCTATTAATGGTTCAAAATCATCACTTTACTTGCTTCAATTCCATTTGAACTCACTCATAGGCTTAACCAATAGTTAACCTAGTTTATTAGGCTTGATTAGGGCATAAATGAACAACAAAATCGAGGAAAAACCCCTTCTTCAAGAATCGGCCAGCCAAGAAAAGAACAAACAGCCCACAACTTCCAATATTTGTTCAACCGTCATTCTTGCATGATTTCTCTTAAAATAACATATCAAGTGGTAGATCTAACTCAAAAGAGGTTTAAAACATAATAATACCTTATAAACAAACATGAACAAGATCCAAACATTTCATCAAACACTTGGTGTGCATACTAAGAAGCTTAACTACTACTTCTTGAATTCAAGAGATTAACCTTAAATCTCAACCAAACAACTTGTATTTTGCCATTAACATTCCAAGTGCATGATCTATAATCA